AGATCCATCGGACATCAGCAATGATATCTCTCGTTCCACGGCCTCTTCTGAATCCAGCTTGAACCTCTGGAAGTTCTCTGTCAATATATGATTGTAGCCGTTTCTGTATTACCTTTAGCAAAACTTTACTCGCTTGAGATATCAAAGAGATTGTCCGATGATTTCCATACATAGGCAAAAATAACTATACTGTTTTAACATATTTGAACTGCTAACCTGATAATTGCCTAGAGAAGGGACAAGTATCCCCAAAGTATGCTTAATCAGGAGGCCAATTCATCTGCCAACCTCTAAGAACATGAAGATGAACATGTTAGACTGTCCTCCATCTGAACCTTCATTCACCACCATTCAATAACCCTTTTTCAGACCCAGGTCAGCAGCACATTTCTTGCCAACAATCATTAAATGTCCAAGAAGATTTTCATCATCATCTTCTGCTACAGAAATCTGGGAAATATGCTTCTTAGATATTACCAGAAAATGGGTTGGTGCGTGAGGGGAAATGTTATGGAAAGCAAGACACCAGCCAAGTGGCCTGAGCCTTGGTGATCTCATCTGCCATCTCAGTCTCCTTCCAGTACCAAGGCTCTTTTTTTTTTTTTTTTTGGTCTTCTTAATGACCTTTTGCTTTCTTCCTGTATGATGTTCTTGATGTCATCACACAACTCTTCTGGTCTTTGATTTTTAGTGTCTAGTACATCAAATCTGTTCTTCAGATGCACTCTAAATTCAGGTGGGATATGTTCAAGGTCATATTTTGACTCTCGTGAATTTGTTTTGATTTTCTTCAGCTTCAGCCTGAATTTGCATATGAGAAAATGATGGTCTGTTCCAAACCTGCCCCTAGTCTTGTTTTGGTTAATGATGTGAAGCTTTTCTACCATATCTTTCCATAGATGTAGTTAATTTGATTTCTGTGTATTTCATCTAGTGAGGTCCATGTGTATAGTTAGTTGTCTCTTATGCTGTTTAAAAGAGGTATTTGCAATGAAGAAATCATTGGTCTTGCAAAATTCTATCATGCTATCTCCAGCATCATTTCTATCACCAAGACCATATTTGCCAACTACTGATCCTTCCTCTTTGTTCCCAACCTTTGCATTCCAATCACCAGTAATGATCAATACATCTTGATTGCATGTTAGATCAATTTCAGATCGAAGAGATTAGTAGAATTCTTCAATTTCATCATCACTGACTTTGCTGGATAAATTTGAATAATAGTCATATTAACTGGTCTTCCTTGTGATGTTGTTAATTGCTGTCAAGTCGATTCCGACCCATAGTGACCCTTGGTTTCCAAGGAGCAGCTGGTGAGCTTGAACCACCGACCTTGCAGTCCTTGTAGTAGAGTGGATATTATCCAATCACAGACAGCATTTTACTTCAAGACAGGGCATTATATGTTCTTTTTGATGATGAATGTGACACCATTCCTCTTTAACTTGTCATTCCTGGCATAATAAACCAGGTGGTTGTCAGATTCAAAATGCCCAATACCAGTCCATTTCAGCTCACTAATGCCTAGGATATCGATGTTTATGCATTCTGTTTCATTTTTAACAATTCCCAATTATCCTAAATTCATACATTCCATTTTCTAATTAATAGTGGATGTTTACAGTTGTTTCTCTTTAATCTGAGTTGTGCCCCAAGAGCAAATAAGGTCCTGAAAGCTTTTACTTTATTTGCATCATCACGGTCAACTCTACTTTGAGGAGTCAGCTCTTCCCCAGTTGTATTTTGAGTGCCTTCCAACCTGAGGGGCTCATCATCGAGAACTATATCTGACAACTTTCTTGTGCTTTTCAGCATGTTTCAATATCTAATATTCTGGTGCTGACATTGTTCCACTGCTATTTATAACGTTTTCAGTGACTAAATAGCTCCAAGTAGTTCATCTCTCCTTCTTCCTAGTCTGTCTTCATCTGAAAGCTCATCTGAAACCTGTCTACCATGGGTGACCCTGCTGGTGTTTAAAATATCAGTGCCATAGCTCCCAGAAGCACAGCACCATGCAAGCCACCACAGTGTGACAAACTGACAGACTAGTGGTGGACATGCTGCATAGCAACCCAATCTTTTCCTGTGGGATTTTCACTGGAGTAGGAAATAGCCATTGTCCCCATTCAAAGATGACAGCCAATACATTCAAGTGGTACAGTCAGCCACCATCTTTGGGCCAGGCACATTGACTTGGTTCCTTACCTGGGTCAAAATCCCACATAAAGAGATCTAGTCCTTCAGCCATGATGGAACCATTTGGACCAGTGTTTGCAGCCCTGCCTGAGACACAAACCCACTTGGGACACAAATCCAGAAGTCTTTCTCCTTGTAGGGTTTTGCTAGTTAAAGGGCATCTCAGTGGCTCTACCTTCTCCATCAGGCAGGTCCCTTCTTGGAAGCTATGGTGGGCACAGTGGAGGAGGGTCCAGGCTGGGACCTGCAAAGGCTGAGTCTGGGAACTTCCCAATTCCCACCCAGGAGTTTTCCCGCTTCCACGAGGAGATCCTGCCCATGTTTGACAGGCTACAGAACAACAGGAAAGAGTGGAAGACCCTGGCGGATGAGTACGAGGTCAAGGTGAAGGCCTTGGAAGAGACCGTGGTGGCCAAGAAAGGTGGGGACCTCTTCCCTCCTGCAGGCTCCGATGCGCGCTGCTGGGGGTTGAGCGAGGCTGGTCCCCAAGTCAAAGTGCATGAATGTTCAAAACAGAGAGGCTGGGGGTGTTAAATTAGAATTAGAAGAGAAGAGGAATTCATATCACTCGCTGATTGATACTGCAGACACACACCGGTTTTACCCACAGTCTTTGGAACGTTCCATTCCAGGTACCCGCTCTGCGGAGTGGATGTAATTAACAAGCCTGGGTTCAGAGTGTTTTCTCTGGGCCCCAGCCTTGGGACGCTTCCTTTCTCCTATCCAGGGGAGGGAAAGCCCAGTCAAAAACGTCACTTCATTCTTAGCAGTTCTCACCCTGATTCCCAGACTACCCTCAGAAACAAAACAGCAAACCCAGAAGGAAGGGGAGGGCAAAAGGAAGGTGGGCTGGCAGGCAGGGAGGGAGGTAAAGAAAGAAAAACAGGGGCTAGCTAAGAGGAGTGGGGGAAATCGTGGCGTGTGTGCCACGTGACTTCCTGTATTGTGTCCGGGCTACTGATTTAGCTTTTTATTCTGTATTATGGACTCCTGGTATGGTGCTCTAGAAGCACTGGACTGCTAACCGTAAGGTCAGAGGTTCAAACCCACCAACTACTCCTGAATAACCTTATACAGGGTCGCTATGAGTTGGAAGTGACTCCATGGCACTTAACAGTGGGCTGAAATGTAACAATTGTGACGTGGTACAGGACCAGACAGTGTTTAGGGTACTGTTGTATATCGGGGTCGCTATTGGAGTTCTGGTGTGGCGCTGTGGGTTAATGCACCACACTGCAAAGCCATTTGAATTGCAAGGTCGGTGGTTCAAGCTCACGAGCTGCTCCTCAGAAACCCTAGACACAGTCGCTATGGGTCGGAACCGACTTGACGGCACTTAGCAACCACAACAAATGAGTGGGAATTGACTCCACGGCATGTAACAACATGGGTGTGACTTTTTTCTTACCTGTTAGATACCTTTCCCCCTACTTCCTCTCCCCTCCGATTGTTTTGGAGGGCGGAATCCTAATGGCATGATTGTTTTAGGATTCGCCTGTCCTTGGCTACCTTAGTTTTTAATTTTTGATTATTCCCAGCTGTTCCAGATTACTGGGCAGGAGCAGGCTGTCATTGAAGGCACCCCCAGGTGGTGGGAGGCAGGCACTGCATGTCAACACGGGCAAAGGATCAGAAAGGCTCAGCTAAGGGGCTCTAGGCTGCCAGGAAGCATCAGCAGAAGGGAAGGGCCACCCCACCAGGTAGCCTCCTCCCTCACTGCCCGGTCCTTCTCTTGCAGTGAGCACAGAGATCTGTAACGGCGACCCCACCCCAAAGTCTTCCACCTGCTGCATCCTGTGAGTGCCCTCCCACCTGGCACAGGAGTTTAGGAAGCCCCGGGAAAGAGAACGTTCTGATGATTTAAAACATTTTAAGGTTTGTGTTTTTTATAAACTAACCAAGCAAACAAAACCTGGTGCTGTCGAGTTGATTCTAACTCCTGGAAACCTGAGAGGACAGAGTTGAGCTGCCCTATAGGATTTCCAAGGAAGCATCGTATTCCTGAGGAGTGACTGATGGGTTCCAACCAACGACCTTTCCCTTAGCAGCCAAGCACTTAACCACTGTGCCACCAGGGCTCATTTGTGTTGGGAGCAGCTGCACTGAAGGTCCCTGACTTAGGGGTAGTTTAACCGAAGGATTGCAAATGAACAGTTGTGGTCCAGAAACTCAGGCTGCTTCCAAGTCTAGTCCTGCCTCAGAGGAACTGAAGGGCTGCCTCAGGGAACAGGGAACTTGCAAGGTCTTTCCTTGTACTTAGCTAAGTCCTTCGCTCAGTTTGCACAACATTCTAGCCGTCCTATCTCTCTGTTTCCCTAGCAACTACATTCTTCTGGTAAAGTCCCATTTACCGCATGCATCAAAACACCAGATGTTATTCTTTTCCCTGCCCCCAAGCACCTCCCCTTGAGCTGTGTATAAAATAAACCCGCTACCTAGGTGATGGAGGAGAATATTGAAAGTGCCATGGGCTGCCAAAAGAACCAATAGATTCGTTTTGGAAGAAGTGCAGCCAGAGTGCTCCTCAGAGGCTAAGATGGCCAAACTTCGTCTCTCATACTTTGGACATATTGTCAGGCGGGACCAGTCACTGGAGAAGGATATCATGTTTGGTAAGGTGGAAGGTCAGAGAAAAGGAGGAAGACCCCCAACGAGATGGATTGGCCAAGTGGCAGCATCAATGGACTCAAGCATGGCAACAGTAGTGTGGTTGGCCCAGGATTGGGCAGTGCTTCGTTCTGCTGTGCATAAGGTTGTTATGGGTCGGTGCCAACTCGATGGTACCTAACAATAACAACAACAACAACAATAGGTCTGTGTTGCTGTATCTCCATCCCAGTGTTGCGTCCCACCTGGTCTCAACTATTCCATTTTCAAATGTGTCTTGTGTCTTTTATTTCTCATCTCCTGTCACCCCTACTCGGGTTTAATATCTCCATGTATGTCGCGGAGAAAGGCCAATTGTCGAATATGGCACATTTGTAAACCGACCAAAGCAAACTAAACTCGCTGCTATGGTGGTGATTCTAACTTGTAGCAATCCGAGAGGACTGTAGAACTCCCCACAGGGTGTCCAAGACTATAAATCTTTATGGGGGCAGACAGCTTCATCTTTCTCTGGAATACCAGCTGGTGGGTTTGATCTTCCATCCTTGCCATTTGCAGCGCAACACTTAACCCACTGTGCCACCAAACTCATTGCCGTCAAATCAGTTGCAATTCAGCAACCCTGTATAGGGTTTGAGGTTATACATCTTTACGAGAGCAGAAAGCCTCATTTTTCTCCTCCCAGTGACTTGTGAAGAAGCTCTGGCAGCGTAGTGGTTCTGAGTTGGGCTGCTAACCTCAACCTCAAGGTCAGCAGTTCAAAACTACCAGCGGATCTAAGGGAGAAAGCTGAGGCTTTCTGCTCCCGTCAAGATTTAGTCTCAGAAACTCTACCAGGGTCGCTGAGTCAGGACTGACTCCACAGCACACTACCACCATCTGGTGGGCTTGAACTGCTGACTACAAATATTTTAAACAAGTAGCCTACATCACACTCGACCATGTTTTGGATACATAGTAACATCATCAGATCTTTGCAAAGGGCCTCGGGACTTCAAGTCTAAGACTGATGAGTGAGAATATCCATACCGCACTTGTGTATATATGTATATAGGAAGTAGATAAATGGACAGACACTGTTTAGGGAAAAGCATTATGTTCAAAAATTTGGAATAAAAGGAAAACATGTCCCTATTTTATGGGGTGGGATTTATGAGGACGCATCGTATTGACTCACCTAAAAACTCTACCAGAAGCCCCGAATCATGACAGCAGTCACACTTAACTGATTGTGCAGAGAATCATCTGTAGTAAGCAGACACTGTGAAGTCCTGAAGAAGACAATGGTGGATGGTTCAGCAGTAGAACCCTGCCTTCCATGTGGGAGTCTCAGGTTTGATTCCTGGCCAGCAGACCTCAAGCACAGCCACCGTCTGCCAGGCTCGTGTGTTGCTATGATGCCAAGTAGACTTTTGGTGTGACACTGTAGGATAAGTGCAAGACTGCAAGGTTGGTGTGGACCACAAGTTCGGTGGTTCAAACTCACCAGTGGACCAGACAAGGATGCCCATTATCACCGCTCCTATTCAATATTGTGCTGGAAGTTTTAGCCAGAGCTATCCGGCATGATAAAGAAATTAAAGGCATCCAAATTGGCAAAGAGGAAATAAAACTCTCCTTATTTGCAGATGATATGATCCTATACATAGAAAACCCTAAAGACTCAGTAAAAAAAAACTATTAAACCTCATTGAAAGATTCAGCAAAGTGGCAGGGTATAAGATCTACATACAAAAATCAATTGGATTTCTCTATAGCAACAGCAATAATGATGAAAAGGACATTAGGAAAGCAATACCATTTACAATAGCCACACAAAGGATGAAATAC